ATTATTAAGAGAAGATAATTGTACTTGTAGAGTTGTATTCACAATCAATAATAATAGTAGCTGTACAACAAATATATGTAACACACTAGTAACAAGAGATATAAAAGGAATATAACTCCTAGAGTGCTAATACACCCCCTCAAGCACACAAGGTTAAAGAGGCACAACATTGAGCTTGTCCCAAAGAAACTCAAAGCGTGGAGCTAGTAGAGATTTAGTAAAAATGTCTGCAAGCTGATCTTTAGTAGATACAAAGTTAAACCAGAAGCTCACCAGAGGCAACCTTATCCCTCACAAAATAGATTTTGAAGGATTTTTTTTTTTTTGAAAGGAGATTTTGAAGGATTAAGAATGTTATTTCATATTAATTTCATTCTATATATTGTTTGGTTCATTGAAAGATTAAACTTGATAAATTATTTCATTGTTTTAAGAAATAAAAATAAAATAAATATTTGATGACTGATGAGGCCATAACATCATACTTTACCAACCAACTAAACAATTCTATTCCTGTTTACAAAGGCGTAACAGGCTCTATATATTCACGTGAAAGTCGTTGGAAGCAAAGTAGTAGGGGGACACATACATGGTATAGATGGAAAACGGTACACTATCACTCTATAGAGGGGGCTCCTACACCATAAATAGGATGGCTTGTCCCCTTTCATATATACCGTTCCATTATAGAGGGGGCTCCTACACCATAAATTGGAGGTACATTTTATTCAATTAATGGAACGGTATATATGAAAATACAGAGAAGTACTATAACTATTAAACATAGTGATCTCGTGCAAAATAGATTTGAAGTCAATATATATTTAATACGGAGTAATATTTACTAATCAATTCATACACTAATGGGTAGTACAAAATCCTGCAGATTAGTACATACGGAGATGCATGCATGGATCCTAGCAAAATCTGATGGAATTAGTTAATTATCATTGAATTTCATTCTAAGATTGGGAACTGAACTTGCGGAACAAGAACCTTAGATTCTCAACGTCCCAACACATGGAAATGATGTCACCCTGGTGCAAACTCCTCCTTTTCACAAACTCTGTATTCCAATTGCTAGTGAGAAGAAAGCTGCCCGTATTCCATTGTTTGAGGTTAAGTTGATGCTCTGACTCAGTGTCCAAATCCCATATTTTAACTCTCAACCCATCCCTGTTTTGACAAGCTCTACAAGACTCCATATCCATGAGAGGCAAGACGTATTTTGTGAGTTCCTCTTTGGGCAGCAACAGCCTTGATGAAAGGTTCACGTCACTGGTACTTAGGCGCTTATGTATCCAGTGATGATGATGATGATGATTTCCCACTGCATCCAGTGGAATTAGGGAGATTTTATCCACCACCTTCTGTTTCTTGGGGATGACTCCCTCCTCCTCTACTGGTTTGTTGGGAGCAATAATTATGAATCTTTTGCGTTTGGTTGGCAGGGAGAGAGAGAGGGAGGAAGGAGGAAGCAGCGTGCATAAGCTCATCAAAATCCCAACGATTATGATTCTTGATCGGTTTCTTGGGTCTATTATTTATCGGCGGTAACAGGGAGAGGGAGAAGGAGGAAGCGGCGTCAATGAGCTCTGCGAAATCACCATGATTCTTGTTGGCGAATAATAATCTTGAATTCTTGGGGCACAAGGAAAGAGACTTAGAGCAGTGGGTGGGGTGGTCTTCATGAACGCCAATTGACAGACGCAGATGCTTTGCGTCAGTCCTTTTTTACTCCTGCTAATGTTACTCAACGCACTCGCACCCCTGCGGCGCAACCACCAGTCCAACACCAACCGGAGGGCCCGCAACAATGACAATCATTATGGCTCAATCGGCAACAAGGGGAACACAATCGCTCAGGTATCGTCTGTAAGTTTTGTTATCTTACGGGTTATGAAACAAGGGTGTGTCGCAAGCTAGCCCTATTATTAAAAGAGCATGATGTTCCTCCTGTGCAATCCTATGTATCTCCTACAGCCAATTCAATGACTAGGGCTTCTCCTCCCTGGATGTTTGATAGTGGGGCGTCGCACCATGTGACACCAAGTCTCGCTCCTCTGCAGACTTTCGCCCAGTATAGTAGATCGGATGAAATACGCCTGGGTGACGGTAATTCCTTACAAATATCCCATATTGGCCAATTTGTCATTCCCACTCCTTCTAATGTTCTCACTCTAGATAATGTCTTGCGTGTCCCACAGTTACACACTAATTTAGTTTCTATTTCCCAGTTATGCAAGACTAATCGTGTGTATGTTGAATTCTTTGACTCTCATTTTCTAGTCAAGGAACTTCGAACCGGGATTCCACTGCTACGGGGAGTGAACATTAATGGTGTCTATTTTGGACCAGTTGCCTCTCACCCAACAGTTCATGCTACGCAGTTGGCTTGTTTGTCTCAGTGGCACAAACAACTTGGCCACCCGTCGAATAAGGTGTTGCAACGCTGTAATGTTCCAGTCTCCATGTCATCTCTGCGAAAATTTTACTGTTCCTCCTGCAATGTTCATAAAATTCATAAACTGCCTTTTTCTAAAAATACACTTGTTAGCACTAAACCTTTGCAACTTGTTTATACTGATGTGTGGGGATATACTGAGAACTTTATTGATGAATTTCGCTATTATGTCATTTTTGTAGACCACTTCTCAAAATACATTTGGCTGTACCCCATGAAACGTAAATCGGATGTGTTTACAATATTCATTCAATTCAAACAGCTAGTGGAAAAATATTTTAGCATGTCAATTATTTCTGTTTACTCAGATAATGGGGGCGAGTTCATGAGACTTGGGCCGTTTTTTAATACTCACGGTATCTCTCATTTCACCATCCCGCCACACACTCCTGAGCACAATGGTGTTGCAGAGCGAAGACACATGCATGTTTCTTCTTCACTCCGCGTCTTTGCCATCCTCATACTGGACCTACGCCTTTCAGATAGCCGTATATCTTATTAACCGGCTCCCTACTCCAATTTTAGGTAATCAATCCCCATTTTAAGTCTTGTTTCCAACAATTGCCAAATTATGCCAAGTTACAACCCTTTGGTTGCTTGTGTTTTCACTGGTTGTGTCCCTATAACACCAAGAAACTACAACCAAAGTCACGTCCATGTATTTTCCTTGGCTACTCGAACACCCAATCTGGTTATAAATGTCTAGATTTTGGTTCGAATCGTATTTATGTATCTAGGCATGTTAGATTTGTGCCCCATGTGTTTCCTTATAACGATTTGCAGAAGTCATCTACCAGCTTACCTTCTGCTTCTAATGATTCATAATCACGTAATATTTTGTGCAAGTCGTCTCCTTTGTCTACACAGATACAACCCGTGGGTGTTCCAACACCAGTTCCAACACCCGTTCCAACACCAGTCAATACATAATCATGGCACGCAGGCCGAAAGGGAAACTAACTAATCTACGCTTCAGATCTCTAGCGCACTCTGGGGTCTACTCATCTGTGCCTGAAAGCCAAATATATCTGTTCAGCGAATGATGCTGGTAACCCACTCCAACGCGTTGAATACTATATATATATATATATATATATATAATATATATATATATATATATATATATATTATATGAAACCATTTTGAAGTAGGAAGATATATACTTAGGAGACTCTAGCTTTAAAACCAGGGATAAACTCGACAGATAGGGGTAAGCACATTAAGCGATGATAAATAGTTATATAGAGACAATATCATAAAGAACATGTATCTAAGGTCACCGTTCACTTTCAAATCATTCACATTATCATTCAATCATCATTCAAATCACACAAGCATACTTTGGTGGCGCCACGGGACCAATCGCATGCCCGAACATGAAGGTTAGTACATATAGTACTAACACAGCCCGCAGCACTCTACCTCATACCGCAGCATGAAGGGTTGATCGCAACCAACCGTATAGACCGTCGACGAACTCAACGGCGGATCACAGCCCTACACACCGCTGACGCGCTCAGTCGGTGGACTGTGATCCTCTTTAAGGGGGACTGCGACCCTACACACCACTTGACGAACTCAGTAGGTGGGTCGTAGTAGATCAAGCCCTACACCGCCTGAGGGACTCATTTGGTGGGCGATGATCTTCGGAGACTACGACCCTACACACCGCTGGCCCATACACTCGGTGGATCGCAGCCGACCGTAGCCCTACACACCGCCTGATCACTCATTCGGTGGGCTATGGCCTTCCTCGGGCTAGTGGCCCTACACACCGCCTGGCGCGTCCAGTCGGTGGACCACAGCACACGAGGCCTACGTGGACCGCAGCCCAAGAAGTGAATCACTGACCGCAGCCAGGAGAATGAACCGCAGCTCATAAGTAATTAATTTGACCGCAATAAACTTCTGAACCGCAGCTCAGGAACACCCAATTTGATCGCAACCAAATTGGGTATCATGCATCACATAACACATTGTAGCACATATTAGCACATTGGGAAGGGGAGATGTATAAATAAACTTACGTGTGATCCTTCACATACTAAGAATAGTCCTAAGGGGTTCATGCATCTTCCACCTAGGCCAACGGGTTACCTATTCAACTAGCAAGCAATTCCTAAGACTCTTCCATCCTACGAATGGCACTCGAAACATCAAATTACACTCAAGCCACGACAAACGGGTCGGTTGGGACACCACGGGGATTGGGAACATCAAACGGGGAAGCCAAAGTCCTGAAGTGGGCAAATTCCAGCGGGTGGCCGGCGGGTGGAGGGTCACCCGCCGGCTGCGCGCCGGTGAAGAACCTCCACGCAGCGGGTGCCCGGTGGGCAGTCGCCTGCCCACTGCCGGCGGCATTAAAACTGGCAGCGGGTAGGTGGCGGGTCCCCCTCCCCCCACTGACTCTTTTTCCAAAATACAAGTCCCGGGATCCTCCGTGGAACCCGAAACCATGCTTAGACATTTTTAAACGCAAATAACGACACCTTGTAGTAAATTAACGGATCAAAAGCAAGAATCACATAGAGCACATCCTATCATGACTTCTAAACATAATCAACACCTGAACATGTGAATTCCCACCCAAATATACCAGAATATCCGAATACGAAATTCACAATTCAGCCTAGGGCTCAAATCATATTTAAATCATCAAGATTATAGTTCATCTTTAATATTAAGAAACATCAAGATTTATCAAGAACATCACACAATCATCAAGACCCTCTTATCATCATCAAGATCATCAAGATCACACATAAAATCATCTCATCAATTATCAAGATCATATCATAATTACATAGGAGATTTCATCAAGAGATAAGCATATAGAAGAGCCAAAGAAGAAATATAGCAAGGAAAATAGGTTTTTTTGAGACATGGGTTACCTCTTAGCCTTAATTAAATTCCTTGGCTATGAAGGGTCTTTCTTTAAGATTTCTTCTTTCTTGATTTCTCCTATGGGAATTCTTGGGAATTTCTTGTGTGGTGAAAGTTATTGTGGTGTGAGTTCTAGGTGTCTCCTATGTCCCTATTTATATATCTAAGAGTCCCAATTAGGGTCTAAATGGTATGGGTTTTGCTAATTCTATTTCTATAGGACTAAGGGATTGGTTTTAGGGATAAGGGTTCATGGGCTTATGGGACCCTTCCTAATTAATTAATGAAATTTAATTCTTTCTTTTGGGTAAATGATTAAATAATTAATTGGTTTAGGGGCCGTAACACGGGTGTTACACTTTGTTTCAGGTATGGGCTTTGACAAAGGCTTCATGGTAGCGCCGGCGTCTTCCAGCGGTCCCCATCCAATGGTCACTCTTAGCAGGAAGAAGGGCCCGGCAGTCGGGGAAGAGGTAGAGGTTCGACAGTTCCCTCCGGTGTGCCCCTCGACATCACATATGCCAACCCGGCCGCTCTCGAGCAAGACCTGCAACTCGCCGCCGCCTAATTCAAATGGAGGTCGAAGAAACCCCTCAGCCCAAACCGACCAAGAAGCCGAACTCACCCAGCCGAATGCCTGTGATTGATATCCTACTGAGTGGCGAACATCCCTAAACACTCTCAGCCGGTTGAACGAGCTAATCCCGGCCTATGATGGTGCGCAGGGCGCGTCATTGAACCACCTCGGGGAGCAGGCAGCTCACGACGTCGTCCAGGTATGTTTCTAGCATCTGTGCTCGGGTTGTTAACCTCTCAAATTAACCGGGGTTATTGCGTCTGGACAGTTGACCCGCACCTTGACCGCCCTATTTTGCCACGCGAAGTTGACGGTAGACGCAGAGGCCCTGCAAAAGGCGCTGATCGCATGAGACGGAGGCGAAGGACGCTCGTCGCAAGCTTAGGTCTGCCGTCGACCGGGTGGCCGGCCAGAAAGGGAGGCGAGGAGACCCGGAGGATGCTCGAGAACCCCGATGGGCTCGTAGCCCGGCCCGCGACCGGGGCGAGGCCGAGGTGTTTTTTCACCGATTTTTGAAGAATCCTATTGGCGAACAGTTGGCTTGGACACTAGCCAAGTTGGCGTTCAACTCC